CACCATCACCACCACAAAAACACACCACCACTACCACCACCACCACCACCACAATCTACCACACCACCACCACCACCACCACCGCCGCAACCACCACCACTACCAGCATCGCACCCACCAGCCCACCACCACACACAAACCACAACACCACCACCGCCACCACCGCCACCACCAGCATCACCTCCACAAACCACCGCCACCACCACAACCCACCACCACCACCACCACAACCACAACCCACCACCAAACCACCACCAAACCACCACCAAACCACCACCACCACAATCCACTACCACCACACCACCACAAACCACCACCCACCACACCCACCAAGCCACCACCACCACCACCGCCACCACACCACCACACCCACCACCACAATCACCCCCACCACACAAACCACCACACCACCACCACCACAACCCACCACGCCACCACCACCACCACCACCCACCACCACCACCACAAACCACCACACCACCACCACCTCCACCACCCACCACCACAACCACGACCACCGCAACAAACCACCACCACCACAACCACCGCCACCGCCACCACCACAAGCCACCACCACCACCACATTCACTACCACCACGACAACAACCACGACAAACCACCACACCACCTCCGCCACCGCCACCACCACCTGAACCCACCACCGCCACAACTACCACCACCACCACCAGAAACCACCGCACCACCACCACCACCGCCACCACCACCACCACACAACCTGCCACCACCCACCACCAACCACACCCGCCACCATCACCACCGCCACAATCACCACCACCACCACCACCACCACCACCACCACCACCACCACCACCGCCACCACAGCCCATCACCACCATCACCACCCCCACTTCAGAGAGGCCCCAAGAGACGCCCAGGAGGCGCCCAGGAGGCTGCACAAATGCCCTTGAAAGGCCTCCGAGAGCCCTCCGACGAGACCCCAAGAGGCATCCATTAGGACTCTGACCCAAAACCAAGGGCACGGTGGCGGAGCGTCGTCGTCGTCGTCGTCGTCGTCGTCGTCGTCGTCGTCGTCGTCGTCGTCGTCGTCGTCGTCGTCGTCGTCGTCGTCGTCGTCGTCATCGTTGTCGCCGTCGTCCTCGTCGACGCTCCCCGCCGCCGCCGCCCGCCGCCGCAGGCGCCGGCGCCGGCCTAGAAAAGGAAGTCGTCGACCCCGCCGCCGCCGCCAGCCGCCGCCGACGCAGGCGCTGGCCCGAGGAGAGGGAGAGAGGAGAAGTAGGGGCGGAGGGGGAAGGGAGGAGGGGGGGGTTCGGACCCCCCTCTCTCCCCCTCAGTCACGGGAGGGGGGGGGTCTGGTTCCAACCCCCCTCCCCTCTCCAAGCGACCACAGACCGCGCTCTTTCCTTTGTTTTTTTGGTAGCTTGGTAGCTCGTTAATTTTTTGCTCCGGCAGGATCCAACATGTGCTCCTGATGCCTCTGAAGATGTCCACGGAGTCCCCTAGATATACGAAAAAACGTGTTCTACCGCTGCTGGCGGAAAACCGGGGGGGGTCACTACCGGTTCGAACCCCTCCCCCCCCCCCTCTCCGGAAAACCGGGGGGGGTCACTACCGGTTCGAACCCCTCCCCCCCCCCCCGGTTCATCATGAAAAGGGGGGAGTCACTACCGGTTCGAACCCCCTCCCCCTCGATAACCGAGTGAGGGTGCGGACAGTGGTGGGGACGGTGTTGGTGGGGACAGTGGTGAGGGGACAGCGGGACAATGGTGGGGACAGTGGGACAGTGGGACAGTGGTGGGGACGGTAGTGGTGGGGACAGTGGTGGGGACAATGGTGGGAACAGGGGGGACAGTGGACAGTGGTGGGGACGGTGGTGGTGGGGACAGTGGTGTGGGGACAGTGGGAATGAGGTGGAAACAGTGGGACAGTGGAGGGTACAATGGTGGTGGGGACAGTGGTAAAGGCGGTGGCGAGGACGGCGGTGGGACAATGGGACAGAGGTACAGTGGGGACAGTGGTGGGGACAGTGGGGACAGTGGTGGGAACAGTGGGACAGCTCAGTGGGACAGCGGAGGAGTCAGTGGGACAGTGGGGACAGTGGGGATAGGCAGTGGTTGGGTCCGTGGAGACAGTGGGGAGAGTGGAACCGTGGTGGGAACAGTGGTGGGAACAGTGGGGACAGTGCGACAGTGGTGGGGGCACTGGTGGGGACAATAGGGACGGTGGTGGAACCAGTGGGGACAGTGGTGGTGAGGACAGTGGTGCTGGGAACAACAGTGGGGGATGTGATGCGAGCGGTGGTAGGGACCGGGAGTCGTTTGCTGGCGGTGCGGGGGGGGGTCGAACCGGTAGTGACCCCCCTCCGGTTTTCGAGGGGGGGGGGGGTCCAACCGGTAGTGACCCCCCCCGGTTTTCCAGATCCGGAGGGGGGGGGGGGAGGGGTTCGAACCGGTAGTGACCCCCCCCCGGTTTTCGAGGGGGAGGGGGGGGGGGGAGGGGTTAGGGGAGGGGGGGTTTGCCGGGGGGGAAGGGGGGGGGGGTCCAGCAGGGGGGGGGGATTTTCGGAGGGGGGGGGGGAGACCCCCGGGTTCCGGAGGAAAAGGTTGGCAATTTTCCACAGTAAAGCGGCGGTGGATCACGCTCTCTCAGATATACCTGTCAGGCTGCCCAAGAGACGGCCCAGGCCGCCTCATGGTGGCCCCAGAGGCCAGCCCAGCTGTCCTCCAAGAGAGCGCCAAGAAGGTTCCAATTCAACCCGAGACCGTCCCAGAATAGCCCCCCCCACCCTCTCAGATGACCCAAGGAACCTCCAGGAAAGCAAACAGATCCCGGCAGGAGTGCAAGATGCCCGAGTCTTCGGAACCATGCTTTTTGAGGTGTTTCACCCTTGGCGCTCCCTGGTGAACAGATCTGTGTGCCAGCCCCCCCCCTCTTTGGCCCCGCTCTGCTAAGCGCGGTGGCGGAGATGCGCGGCAACACAGCTGGATGATGAGAACTATGATGTGACGGTAATGGTTCGTGACGACGAGGAGGAGCGGGAGAGATGTGGGGGAACACTTCTGGCACCTGGTGCGCCCCTCTGCTGGTAGGCGTGGGCGCCGCTGGCTCAAGCCTACCGCCCCGCGGCTCCTTGTGAGCGCCAGGTCTGGCAGCGAGGCGACGCAGAGACGGACCAAGGAGGAGGAGGAGGAGGAGGAGGAGGAGGAGGAGGAGGAGGAGAAGGAGGAGGAGGAGGAGGAGGAGGAAGAAGGAAGGAGGAGGAGGCGGAGGAAGGGAGGCGGCTTCGAAAGAAGGGAGCCCGAGCCACTCCAAGGCCGCTGTCCAACGCTGCTGGTTCGCAGCGCGGCTGGCCCATCACCTGGGGGAATGGAAACTGACCAGCACCGTCAAACCTCCAGGGGCCCGACTCGTCGTGGATATCTTCGCAGACGAAGGGCGGTACACCACAAACTCTGCTGCCGTCGGGGTCGCCCGCCCCAGGGAGACTAGAAAGCTCATCCCCCTCGGGTGGCACGTCGGGGTCTGCGGTCCACAACTTTTGCTCAGCGTGTCGCGGCGGCGACCCCAGCGACACGGTATGCTCGGGGGCGGCCAAGAGGGGGGCATCCAAGAGGGGGGGGGTGCAAATCATGACCGGCGGCATGTGCGCGGCCCAGCGGGGGGGCCAGGGGCGTAATGAGACAAGAAGAGGCGCCATGAAATCTGGGGAAACATCATGGCCCACGCCATGGTATCCACCCCCTCTTTGCCGCCCCCGATATGCCTTTCAAAATGATAGCATGTCGCTTCGCTCCGCGGGGCGGGAGGCCGGGAAAGGTTCGGGACGTTGACGCTTGGTGGCCAGGACGTGGTTGGCGTGTCGCGCCGCACCGCGGTGGGCCCGAACTGGCGGCGCGACACGCAGTGCGCAAATTCCTGCGCGTAAATTTTCCAGCCGCCCTTGGGGCAGACGTGCCCGACGGCGGAAAGCATTTGTTATGGCGCTCTTCGTCCGCGGAGATGTGGCGTGCAGGCGTGGCTGGGGGAGGGGGAGGGGGAGGGGGAGGGGGAGGCGGAGGGGGAGGGGGAGGGGGAGGGGGGAGGAGAGGAGGAGGAGGAGGAGGAGGAGGAGGAGGAGGGGAGGAGGAGGAGAAAGGAGGAGGAGGAGGAGGAGGAGGAGGAGGAGGAGGAGGGAGGAGAAGGAGGAGGAGGAGGGAGGAGGAGGAAAGGAGGAGGAGGAGGAGGAGAAAGAAGGAGGAGGAGGAGGAGGAGGAGGAGGAGGAGGAGACCTGGTGCACCAATCGGGCCAGCGGGCTCCTCGGTATCACTGGGCCAGTCTTCCTCCCCCGCCCCCGCCCCCAGCTCCCCCCCATGCATCCCCTCCAACTTGTCACATGCGAAACGAGTTGTCGGCACGCGAATTGGGCACCGTCCGTGCCCAAGATTTCGAAGAGAGAGAGAGAGAGAGAGAGAGAGAGAGACCACAATGGGGGTCGGTCGGCGCGCAGGCTTATCGCAGGCCTGCCAAGACATAGCCTGATATGAGGCACGCCAGAGCTACACGACCTCGGAAATCCAAATGTCATACGAGGTCGATCCAACTTGAAACAGGCAAGTTCTCTTGACCGCCGCGCTTCTGGCACGGATCGCCTCGACGGACAAAAAGGAGCGTGCTCTTCCAGAAAGGGGGGGGCAGCTTTTTTCCCACACGGGGCCCCGGGAAGTCCCAACCTCTCCCCAGGGCCCGTTTTCCATCCCGAGCTGCTTTTGTTATGCGATGTCTGCTTGTTCCCCATGCGGGGTCCCGGGAAGTCCCGACCTCTCCCCAGGGCCAGCTTCCGTCCCGAGCTGTTTCTCTTTGACGCCGCCCGGGGCCCCCGGAGGCCAGAAGACTGCATAAAGCCGCCCGCCGCTCTCCTCGGTGGTTCAAAGATGGGGTCCTGAGGGATGGGGTCCCAGGGACGAGGTGCCGGAAACAACGTAACTCCACGCGTGGATCCCTTCCTATCCTCAGGACCCCATCTTTGAACCACGGATCTCCTTCACGCGAGCATGTCTGGGCTTCTGCCTGCCGGCTGCGAAGAGGAGATCGGCGGCGAGCCCCTGGGGGGGAAGCGAGAAGGGGCGGGCGAGGGCTCGGGAGTCCCCAGGCCTTCTGTTGGCGGCGCGCACAAGGGGGTTATGGGGGAGGGGGGAAGGCTTCTTAGAAGGAGGCTGCTTCTTAGAAGGCGCGAGCATTCCATATACAACCAAGGCCCGCCGCTTCCAAGGAGCAGGGGTGCTTCAAAGAAGCCTCCCCCCTCCCCCTACCCCCCTCTGCGCGTGGCCGACGGAAGTCCCCTGGCCTTCCGAGAAGCTTTCTGAGCCCTCCCCGAAGACGCAGGCAACCTCCTAGAGGGCCCGCAGGCCTTCTCAGAAGCCCCACCGCCCTCCTGAGAAGGCCTCCTCCTTCCCGCTTCCCCCGCCCTGGCTCGCCGCCGCTGGATCACCCCGCGTGGCCGAAGCGGTCCCAGGCGCCCCACAGCTGCTCGAGGGGCCCGACGCCCTCTCCCGGGGCCACGCCCAGGCCCGCGAGGTGCCGCTCGAAGCCGGCCACGGCCTCTGCGTAGCCGTCCTCCACTCTGGGCCTGCGTCTGGCGGATCGCTCGGCCGATCGCGCCACTCGATCGCGTGACCCAATCTCGGGGAGCCGTGAGGCTCGGGTTCGGGGGACTCGGGCTGGTCTGACGAGGCCGTCAGGGCAGTGACGAGACCCAGTCTGAAATGTGGCGCGAGCTCCCGCTGCAAACATCCCACAAAAACCAGACCGTCAAAATCCAGGACGCGCTCGTCAAAAAGCGTCGGCAGCACCGATTCCTGGCGTACTCGAGCCGACATCGCAACTCCGATCTCGATGGCTTCCTCGCCGATCACGGATCGATCCCGCGCTCAAGCTCGGACGATCGCGCGATCCGGCCGAACCCATCACGCGACTGGCGATCGTGTGCTCCAACCGCGTCGATCAGCAGACGCCGAGCACCAGGCACACCCGAGAAGTAGCCCATGCCCTGCGCGACGATGACGCACTCGGCCACGGAGTGCTGGCCGCCCGCGACGAGCGTCATGGTCTGGAGGCCGATCAGCGCCTCGCGCACGTCAAGCGCCGAGGACGGCACGAGGCCCTCGGGGTGTGCGCCGCAGCAGTCGTCCTCCATCGTCAAGACGAACTGCTCGATGCTCCCGGACGCCGCGCCCACGAAGGGCGCGTCCAGCTCCCGGAAGAGTGCGGCGAGCGATCCGCCGCTGTCGTCGCGCGCGATCAGGTTCTTGCCGTGCGAGACCGGGGTGCCGAAGACGTCCTTCGCCTCGTCCGGCATCCACTCCGTCTCGGCGATGCCGGCGTGCCGGTTGAGGCCCGACTTGCAGTACCGCAGCTTCATCGGGCTCTCTACCCAGACCCCCGACGTAATGATTTTTTCATTACGTCGACCCCCAGAGGTCCCGACCCTTTCCCCATGACTGGCTTTGCATCCTGAGTCGTTTTTTGACGCTCCCGAGGGCCGGTAAGGGCCCCCGGAGGCCGAAAATTAGGAAAAACCTCCCGTCGTGATTTTTTCATGACTCGAGGGGGTCTGGGTCGGGCTCTCTAGCGGGCCAGCCTCGGGCATGATGATGCGGCCCCGCCTCTGGAAGTACCAACGGGCGCGTGCCTCTGCGTCCCGCTCCTGATGGGCCTGTTTTCCACCACCACCACCATAAGTTGGAGGGGGAGGAGGAGGAGGAGGAGGAGGAGGGGGAGGAGGACGAGGAGGAGGAGGAGGAGGAGGAGGAGGAGGACCCCCTCCCCCTCCAACTTATGGTGGTGGTGGTGGAAAACAAGCCCATCAGCTCCCGCAGCAGCTGCCTCGCTCCGCCCGGCAGGGCGCACCAGGCCTCGGCTCGAGCCTTGACGTACCTGTCGAGGCCGAGCTCCTCGCCGGGGCCGTCTCCCGTGGGCCTCTCGGGGGCCTCTCCTCCTCCTCCTCTCCTCCTCCTCCTCCTCCTCCTCCCTCCTCCCTCCTCCTCCTCGCGAGCCTTGACGTACCTGTCGAGGCCGAGCTCCTCGCCGGGGCCGTCTCCCGTGGGCCTCGCAGGGTCGGGCGAAAGGGGGGGATAGCAAAGGGGGGGTTTGAGAATCAGCTCACGTAGCTGATTTTCCCGGCGCCTCCCGGCGCCGGACGCGGCCATGTATCGAGGAATGGGCCCCTCGGTAAGTCCGAAACCAGCTGCATGCAGCAGATTTCGTAACCCCCCCTTTCCCAATCCCCCCCTTTCGCCCGGCCCGAGCCTCGCAGGGTCCCAGGGCCACGGGATCTTGAAAGAGTGGCCGACGTTCATCGCCCCGACGAGGCGCCCAGGGTCCGTGTTCCGGACCGCCGCCTTCTCCGCCATCCTCGGGTCCACCCGCAGGCCCGGGCGGCCTGGCGTGCTGTTCTCCTGGAGGCAGGGAGGGGAGCGGCAGTAGCATGACCCGTCGGAACTCCGCGCGGCTGTCTTGGCTGTCTTGGATCGGCGAAGGCCCCCCGCGCCGGAGGCGCCGCCAGGGGGGCCCAGCGCCGATCCGAGCACCCCCGCGGAGCGTCAACAGCTGCTGCTCACCACGCTGCTTCTCCCTCGAGCTCCTGCAGGGCCCGCAGCCACGCCCACAGCAGGTCCATGTTGGTGCCGCCGGGCGGCCAGCCCAGAGCCCCGCGGCCTCGCGGGTCGAGGCGGCCGTTGGGCCGCGATGCGCCGCGCAGCACCCGCACGGCCCACAGGGTCTCGGCCTCCACGGCGCAGACCAGATTGCCCCGGTGCGAGAGCGTCCGCCGCCAGCCGCTGCGGGGCGCTGCTCACCGGGGGGCGAGGAGCGGGGGGGGGCCGACGAGGCCTGCACCTCTCGTGCCGCCTCGGGGCCCCAGGGGGCTCTTTGGGGCCCCAAAGGTGCACAAGAGGTGCGCCTTCCTTCACCCCCCCCCCACTTGCCCAGACCCCCGACGTCACATTCTTTTCGCAACGTCGACCCCCAAAGGTCTCGACCGTCCCCAGGACCATCTTTTCATCCCGAGTCGTTCTTGGTCACGGTCCTGGGGCCCTGCGGGTACCACCAGAGGCCGAACACGGCGCAACATTGCCCGTCGTGATCTCTCCATGGCTCGATGCGGGAGTCTTGGTGCCCCCCCCGCTGCGCAACGCCCGACGCTGCCCGCCGAGTGCGGCGCCAGCGCGGGGCCGCCCCCGCAGGCCGCGGGCGACCCGCCGCGGCGGGCGGCGCCCGCTGCCGCGCGGCAGGGGCTCGCGGCCAGCCGGGGCGCGTCGAGCAGCGTGCGTGGCAGCGCCGGGAGCCGCGGGGCCCCCGCCGCGGCCGCGGCGCGGGCGCCGCCGCGGGCGGCGGGGCCTCGCAGCAGCTGCTCGGCGGCGGGGCCCCGGGGCTCGCAGAGCCGGCGCGCCTTCTCGGCCAGGGACCACCACCAGGCCGGCTCCGCGAGCAGCTCCCACCACGGCGCCTCCGCCATGCCGCGCGCGGCTCGGCTCCACGTGGAGAGCGGCCCCAGGCGAGAGTGCCCCGTGGCGCGCGGCTTCAGGAGGCCGCGGGAGGCCCCATCCCCAGCGCGCAGGCCGGCGTTCGGGGAACTGCTGTGGGCCCGCACCCAGGGGCCACTCTGGCAAAGGGTCCCTCTTACGAGCAGCCGAATTGGGCTGTGGGGAGGTCCAGCCTGCTCTTCGCAGGAGGGGGCTCGAGGCATCGCGGGGTCGGAGGATGGAAGGACGGATGGATGGCACGCTCGTCGAAGCGGTGGCTGAAAGCAAACCTGGGGGCTCGAGAAACCATACGTCGTTCTGTCGGTCGTTCTGTCGCGGCCGCCCGAGACGAGGAGCGGGCCTAGGCCTCCAACAGGAGGCTCCACGACATAAATTTAAGGAGCGGCCCGAATACCCGAGCCCCTCCTGAGCCCAAAGCGTTCCTTATTTCAGAGTCTTGAATCAACTTCCCTTCGCCTCGGCGAGCACCCGCCGGGGAAGTCGGGGTCCCACGGCCATGCATGGTGAGGGCCCCGCGCGTGTCTCGCAAGTCTCGGATTGATGATCGCCGCCTCCCGCACTTCCCTCCCTCCCTCCCTCCTTCCCTCCTTCTTTCCCTCTTTCCCCTCTTACCTCCTCCTCCATCCATCTTCCTCCCATCCCCTTCTTCCCTCCCTCCCATTCCCACGGCTTCGGCACTCGTCCACCAGAGCCAGGCGTGCGCGGCCAGTCCGAATCCGCCGCCGAGTAAACGCGTCAAGTGGAGCGAGCCTCGAGCCGTTTTCGGGCCCTGGCTAGGCCAGCACAGCCTGCGGGAGGGGGGGCAGCAGCAGCAGCAGCAGCAGCAGCAGCAGCAGCAGCAGCAGCAGCAGCAGCAGGAAGGGGACGAGGGGGAGGGGTAAAACGCTAGAGTTAGGTCGGGCATGTCCCCCTACAGGCGGATCTTGGAGGAACAATGAAACATATGCAAAGCATATTCTAAAATAGTCAAAACATGCCCCCAAAAGTCGTCCCCATAATATTTTTGACAATTTTCGAACATTTCGCCTGTAGAGGGACGTGCCCGACTCAAAGCTAGAGCGGCGGTTTAGGTCGGCCCGGCTGCGGAAGAGGTGGGAGTGGGAGCAGGGGTCGGGGGCAGTTGTGCTGGGCGTGCTGGCGGTCGCTCCCCAGGGCCCAGGAAAAGGGAGGAGGAGCAGGAGCAGGGGGGAAGGGGGGGGGGGTGGACAAGGAGCATGAGGTTGACCTTTCACTCGCGGGCAGGGGGGAAGGGGGGGGGCTGGACATGGAGGAGCAGGAGCAGGGGGAAAAGGGAAGAGGAGCAGGAGCAGGGGGAAGGGAGGAGGAGCAGGAGCAGGGGGGAGGGGAAGGGGGGGTGTTGGACAAGGAGGACGAGGTTGACCTTTCAGTCGCGGGCAGGGAGGCACGCCGAGCTGGCCGCCGGGCCCCATGGCCTCCATCCTCTGAAGCTCGAGGCCCCCGATCGACGGACACTACCTTTGGTGAGGGCTGAGGGCTTCGGAGTGGGCAGCGTCCTGCAACAGATGGCCCTGCCATGAGGATGGGGGCTGCCATAAATACGCTTTCGCACTGTGCGCCTCTTGCCGCCCTGTGACAGCCGTCTTTTTTTGACCTATGGTTCCCGACCTTCGAACCCCGCCGAGGGAGTCCAAAAACCTGCGCAACCTCCTCGATCCTCGTTGTCCTCCTCCCTCCTCTTCCTCCTCCCCAATTCTCGGGCGCCATATGGAACCGTATTCGGACCTCTTCGGGTTCTTTTGGGTTTTTTGGCCGCCGTGTTGGGGGCCTCTTGGGCTGTCTTGGCTGCTTCTTGGGGTCTGATTGGGCCGTCTTGGGGGCCTCTCAGGCCGTCTCGGTGCGGTCTTGGGAGCCTCTTGGGCCGTCTTGGGGGCCCCGAAGCTCGAACGCGCGAGTGCTTCGAAATCCTTAGAGCACGTGTGAGAAATCAATGGTTCTGGAATCTTGAATCTTGAAGCGCTCTTGGGGGTCCTCGTGGGGCCCTCTGGGGGCGTCTTGGGGGCCTTTGGGGCTAGCCTGAAAGCATCTTGGACAATTATGGGGCGTCCTTGGGCCCTTTTGAGAGCACCTTGGGCCGTCTTGGGTCCGTCTTGGGTTAACTCGGAGCCTTCTTGGACTGTCTCGAGACCCTCTGAGGAACCACTGGAGCCGCTTTAAGGCTCTCTGGCAACCTAGGGCCCAGGTGCCCACGCACACCCGCCAAGGCGCATTGTCGACTTATGTGGACGGAAGCATTCTCCCTCTCACTCACTTCTTGGTCCCAGAGCTCTGGCCCACTTCCGTGGACCCAGCCCTTCTTCTTGGGTCGATTTGTGATGGCCCTGGGGCAAGACAACCACCACCGGAGAGCCAAACTTGGCAACACCCAGCCTCTTCCAGAAGTCTTCAGCAGTCTCTGGAAGCCCCCGCAAGTCCCCCGAGGTCTCTGGGGAGGTCTCCAGAGGCTCCCGAAAGACAAACAAGCGCAACTACTTGACGCTCACCCCCTTCCCAAACATCCTGCGCTTCGTTTTCTGAGATGCGTGGGCGCCTGAACCTCTTGACCCCTGCCCCAAGGCCAATCTTTGATCCCGGATCTATCTGGGCCGTCCCGAGGCCCGGAACCGGCCTCCAGGCGCCAAAAGCGGCGATAAACCAGCCGCACCAGTTTCTCCGAGGCGCCGGATGCCTTGGTCCCCCCCCTCCTCCCTCATGCCACTCCTGCTCAGAAGAAATAACAAAACAATATAAGCGTAAACTTTCGGGGCTCCGCGCGGATCTCTTGGATGTGCGCTGGGCCCTCCTCCCTGTCGCGCAGGCGCCGCGACAGCCCCGATCCGAGAAATCTGCGCGGAGCTTCGACAATGTATGTTTATCCAATTTCTTCTCTTCGACCTCCTCCCCTGCGATCTGACGTCACGAACAAATCGCAACATCGCGACGCATCACCTGCACCTTCGCGACAAATTGCAAGCGTACTCCAGATTTCGTCATAAAGGGAGGGGGGTCTCATTTCGGGGGGGGGGTCTCTTCCAGGCTATCTTGGAGGGCCTGGGGGATCTGGGGACGATGTTTTGGAGGGTTCTCCCACGGGGGAGGTCTGAAATGGCTTGTCTTGGAGGGTCCAAACCCCCTCCCTTTTATTACGAAATCTGGAGTGTCCCTCTTCCTGGGGCACTTTTCGAGCCGGACCGATCTGGGAGGGCCCCTGGGCCCGAAGCAGGGCCAACGCGCCCGCTGCAAAGCAGCACGCGCGACCTCCATCTCGGGGCCCCGCCGCGCCGAGGGCTCCGAGGGCGGCTCCTCCGAGCAGCCTCCGCCGGAGACCTCCGTCGTGCAGCGCGCCACGCGCCCGGCGCCGCCGCCTGCGCAGCCGCCGCCACCGTCGCCATCGCCTTCGCCATCGCCTTCGCCGTCACCGTCGTCGTCGCCGCCGTCGTCGCCGCCGTCGTCGCCGCCGCCGCCGCCGTCCACGTCGTCGCCCCTCCTCGCGCTCTTCAGGGCGTCTGGGCCCTGCCTCGTCGCCACGGCTTGGGCCGTCTCGAGGTCCTGATCGGAAAGAGCTCCACGGCAGGTGCAGAACATGAGGAAGATGAGCAGGTTGAGGAAAACGATGACGGTGATGCTGGTGAGCAGGAGGCTGAGGGGGGGCAACAGTAGCACTACGATGAGGAAGATGAGGATGAGGAGGTGGTGGAGGTGCAAGAGGGCGATGTTTTCGGCGGCTTCCTGTGGTTTTGGGATGTCTTCGGAAGGCATTCGAAGGCTCCTGGGGGCCTCGAGCACTTTTCGAAGGGTGAGATGGAAGAGATAGAGGAGAGGAAGGAAGAGGCATAAGGGATGACTATATGATGACAATGTTATGCAATCATGCTGGCAATACTGCTGGCAATGATGATGAGGATGATGATGCTGCTGCTGCTGCTGATGCTGATGCTGATGCTGATGCTGCTGATGATGATGATGATGATGATGATGATGATGATGATGATGATGATGATGATGATGATGATGATGCTGATGCTGATGCTGATGCTGATGCTGATGCCCATGCCGATACCGATGCTGATGCTGCTGCTGATGGTGGTGGTGGTGATGGTGATCTTGATGATGGTGGTGAGGTTGGTTGTGCTGTTGCACTCTCACTTCTGAAGAACCATTTTTGTTGACCATTGCTGATTCTCCCTCGCCGGTGCGCGTTGTCTTTTTTCAATTGAAGTGCCTCCCCGGGGCTCGCACCCTTTTTTAACAAAGGGGAGATTCCTGCTCAAACTGCGTCCTTGGTCCTTGGCTCCTGTTTTAGAGCAACAGCGGTTTTCGCCTTATACTTCATCACAATCTTTTCAAAATCGCGCTCCCGCTTGGGACTCCCTCAAGCATTTACCCATGAACCGCGCACTCGCTCAGGACTTCCTTGCAATTTGCTGAAGCGTCGCGCCCTCGACGCCCAGGAATCGCGCTCCCGCGCGAGACCTCCTCACAACTTACTCAGGACGCGTGCTCTCGCCCGAGGCTTCTTCGCAATCTGCGGTTCGCTTCAATGCCCCGCCCACCCCCCCCCGTCCGACCGACCAACCTGTTGGAGTTCACCCGCCCGACCCGCCCGAGAGGGTCCGCCCGTTCACCTGCTCGAAGCCCGCCCGTCCGCTCCAATGTCCCGCATGACCCGCTCCCTAGGGCCCGCCCGCCCGACCAGTCCGTTAGGGTCCGCCCGCCCGACCATCCCTTGAGAGTCCGCCCGTCCGCGTGCTTGGAAGCCCTCGCGCCCGGTCCGCCAGTCAGGGCAGGCCCGCCCGACCTGGTGGTCGGTGGCGGTCAGGGCCCGATCGCCAAAATCATGGCTTCTCTCTCGTCCCCTTCCCGCTACATCTTTTTCGCCCTCGATCCTCCCCCCTCCCTCTTGCCCCCTCGCCTTCCTCGCTCCCTCCTCCTCTCCTGGCTCTCATCCTTTTCTTTCTTCACCTGCCTCCCTATTTTAGAGGCCGCGCCAAGTGCCCGTGGCAGGGCTCGAGGAAGGGGCCCGAGGCTCTTCGCTGGCCTCCCTGGGTCCCGCGGGCACGTGTGCTCGCCAGCTCCCCCGGAGTCCCCTGAGGCCCCGCAGGGGCACGAGCAAGCTGGAGGCGACGGGGGGGGGATCTGAACCGGACGGGGCCCCGGAAAATCGTTGAAGAGATAGGGGGCGAAAGCCAACCAATCCGCCCCAGATCGGTCCACGGACCCCTCCCGGGGTCCATCCAGGGCCAGGGTTCCCCCCCCCCGATCGATTCCTGGCAGTCTTGGGGCCCGAGGACGCTCCCCGGACGCCGGAAACCAGTGCTGGGCCACCTCAGCCCTCCAGGCGGCTCCAGCCAGCAACAACTCCGGGCCCACCACAGGCGGCAGCCGCCGTCTCAACCTCGTGTGTGGGGGCGTGTCTGCCCCGAAGGAGGCGCGGAGGCAGCAGCGAGGAGGGCGAGACCGACAGCACCAGCTTGCGAGGAGCGAGCGGAGGGCACTCCCCCCGCCAACGTCCGGACCACAGACGTCCGACGGCTTGCCTTCATCGGTACGGGCCCCCCAGAAGTCCCGCGACGGCGACGGCGACGAGGACGAGAAGGCGTCGGCGACGACGCTGGCGGCGACAGCGACGACCAGGGCGACTGCTAGGAAGATCACCGCGGCCCCTTTCCCCAGGGCTGGCTCTTCATGCCGAGCGATTTTTTGGCGCCCCCGTGGCCCGGTGAGGCCCCTTTTTTTCTTTTGCTTTTCAAAACATTTGGAGTGGGGGGTGCTCGTCGCCACAGGTTGATCCGCCTCGAAATCGAGGTCAAGTCGGGGTGGGACAGAGGGTATGGGGGAGGGAGAGAGGGGGCTGACGAGCTAGGTGCCCTCGCGCTGTCGGGGATGAGCAGGAGGGTGAGCAGGAGGTAAAGGAAGAGGATGAGGAAGGAGGAGGACGTGGACGAACAACAGCAGCAACAGGAGCTGGAGCGGAAGGAGCGGGAAAAGCAGGAGGACCTGGGGAAGGCGGAGAAGCGGAATGGAAGGGGACGACAACCATGGATCCATGAAACTGGTCCGCGCTAGGGCGAGACTGCCACTTTGAATGACGGACGCAAATCGCCGATTCTAGGAACCACGATGCAACGGCATCACAATTTTCAAGGACCGAAAGAGTGCGAATGGCAAAAAGCCATCTGACACCAACTTTTGACGTCAGGTGTAAACAACAATATGCGGAGAGGGCGGCGCATCTTCCACACAGAGTCGATGGAGGAGGGAGAATATTCAGCATTCATATGAACTAATTGTGAAGTGGGAGGGGGAGGAGGAGGAGGAGGAGGAGGAGGAGGAGGAGGAGGAGGAGGAGGAGGAGGAGGAGGAGGAGGAGGGGGAGGAGGAGGGAGGAGGAGGAGGAGTAGGAGTAGGAGTCAAGCTAGCCACCTCGAGCGAGTCAAGCATGGCATGCCCATTCCCACCCGCCCTCCCACACTATAAGAAACGTGCCGGCGCAACCTGGGACCGAAGTCGATCGGCAAAGAGGTTTGCCACA